CTGAAAGAAAAAAAAGAAAGGAGAGATTAAGAGAAGGAAAAAGAAAGAGGCACGGAGAGAGAGATGAGGAGATAGGAGGGAAAGCGAGAGAGGGAGGGGGAGAGAAAGAGGGAGAAAGAGGGAAGGAGAGAGAGAGAGATGGAAAGATGAAGGAGGGAGATTTAGAGAGAAAGACAGAAAGGGAGGGAGAGAGAGAGGAAGAGAGAGGGAGGGGGAGGGAGAAGAGAGATTGATAGAGAAGGGGGAAAGAGAGACAGAAAGAGGGAGATGGGGAGAGACAGAGAGAAGAGAAGGAAAGAGAGAGAGAGAGAAAAAAAAAGAGGGAGGGAGAGTTAGAAAGAAAGACAGAAAGGAGGGAGCGAGAGAAAGAAATGAAGAGAGACGGGAGAGAAAGTTAGAAAGAAAGAGGGGAAGGGAGATGGATGAGAGAGAGAGATAAAAGGAGAAAACGTGGAAAGAGAGAGAGAGAAAGAGAGCGATGGAAAGAAAGAGAGAAGGGAGAGAGAAAAAAGGAGGGAAAGAGAGAAGGGGAGGGAGAAAGATTGAGAGAATGAAAGGAAAAGAGGGAGAAAGTTAGAAAGAAAGATAGAAAAGAAGAGAGAGAGAGAACGAGAAAGATCGGGAAGAGGGAAAGAAAGAGAGGGAGAGAGAGAAAGGGAGGGAGAGTTAGAGAGAAAGTCATAGAAAGAGAGAGGGGAGGTTGGATAAAAGAGGGAGGGAGAAAGAAAAAGAAGACGAGAGACAGAGAAGGGGGTAAGAGGGAGAGAAAGGGTGGGAGAAAGAGAGGGGGGAGAGAGAAAGACAGAGAAAGAGAGAGAGAGTTAGAAAGAAAGAGAAAGAGAGGAGGAGAAGTTAGAAAGAGAAGAGAAGAGAAAGAGAGAAAGAGAGAGAGTTAGAAAGAGAGAGAGAGAGAAGTTAGAAAGAAAGAGAGAGAAGAGAAGAGAAGAAAGAAGAGAGATAAAGGAAAAAACGGTGAAAGAGAGAGAGAAAGAAAGAGAGAGACGGACACAAAGAGAGAGAGAAAAAAAGAAGGAGAACAATAGATAGAGAAGGGGGAAAGATAGACAGAAAGTGGGAGATGGGGAGAGACAGAGAGAAGAGAAGGAAAGAGAGAAAGGGTGGGAGAAAGAGAGGGGGAAGAGAGAAAGACAGAGAAAGAGAGAGAATTAGAAAAAAAGAGAAAGAGCGAGGGGGGAGATAGTTAGAAAGAAAGATAGAGAAGAGAGAGAGGGAGTTAGAAAGAAGAGAGCATTAGAAGAAGAGAGAGAAGAGAGAGAGGAGTTAGAAAGAAAGGAAAGAAGAGTTAGAAGAAAGAGAGAGAGGGAGAGAGAGAGTTAGAAAAGAAGAGAGAGAGTGAGAGAGAGTTAGAAAGAAAGAGAAAGAGAGAGAGGGGGAGAGAGAAAGAGAGAAAGAGAGAGAGTTAGAAAAAAAGAGAAAGAGAGTTAGAAAGAAAGAGAGGGGGGAGAGAGTTAGAAAGAAAGACAAAGAAAGAGAGAGGGAGAGAGAAAAACAGAAAGGGAGGGAGAGAGAACGAGAAAGATCGGGAAGAGGGAAAGAAAGAGAGGGAGAGAAAGGGAGAGAGAGTTAGAGAGAAAGTCATAGAAAGAGAGAGGGGAGGTTGGATAAAAGAGGGAGGGAGAAAGAAAAAGAAGACGAGAGACAGAGAAGGGGTAAGAGGGAGAAGAGAAAGAGAAAGAGCGAGGGGGGAGATAGTTAGAAAGAAAGAAAGAAAGAGAGAGAGAGAGTTAGAAAGAAAGAGAGAGGGGGAGAGAGAATAAAGGAAAAAAATGGTGAAAGAGAGAGAGAAAGAAAAGAGAGACGGACACAAAGAGAGAGAGAAAAAAAGAAGGAGAACAATAGATAGAGAAGGGGGAAAGATAGACAGAAAGTGGGAGATGGGGAGAGACAGAGAGAAGAGAAGGAAAGAGAGAAAGGGTGGGAGAAAGAGAGGGGAAGAGAGAAAGACAGAGAAAGAGAGAGAGTTAGAAAAAAAAGAAGAGAGAGAGTTAGAAAAAAGAGAGAAAGAGAGAAGTTAGAAAGAGAGAGAGGGGAGAGAGTTAGAAAGAAAGACAAAGAAAGAGAGAGGGAGAGAGAAAAAGAAAGGGAGGAAGAGAGAACGAGAAAGATTGGGAAGAGGAGAAAGAAAGAGAGGAGAGAAAGGGAGAGAGAGTTAGAGAGAAAGTCATAGAAAGAGAGAGGGGAGGTTGGATAAAAGAGGGAGGAGAAAGAAAAAGAAGACGAGAGACAGAGAAGGGGGTAAGAGGGAGAGAAAGAAAGAGAAAGAGCGAGGGGGGAGATAGTTAGAAAGAAAGATAGAGAAAGAGAGAGAGGGAGTTAGAAAGAAAGAGAGAGAAAGAGAGAGAGGGAGTTAGAAAGAAAGAGAGAGAAAGAGAGAGAGTTAGAAAGAAAGAGAAGAGAGAGGGGGGAGATAGTCAGAAGAAAGAAGAGAAAGAGAGAGAGAGGGAGAGAAGAAGAGAGAGGAGAGAGGAGAGACAGAAAGAGAGAGGGAGAGAGAGTTAGAAAGAAAGACAAAGAAAGAGAGAATAAAGGAAAAAAACGGTGAAAGAGAGAGAGAAAGAGAGAGACGGACACAAAGAGAGAGAGAAAAAAAGAAGGAGAACAATAGATAGAGAAGGGGGAAAGATAGACAGAAAGAGGGAAAGAGAGAAAGAGAGAAACAGAGAGATGGAGAAAGAGAGAAAGAGAGAGAGAGTTGAAGAGCTGGTAACCTGAAGCTGTGTCCTGACTCATGGTTGTATTAATAATGCAGAGGCCACGCCCCCTTTGGCTAAAACGGAAAAGTCAGACGCAGTGACTGATCCGGCTTAATAAGGCCACGTTTACAGCCTCCCGTCTTTCAAACCACGACCATCAGAAACGTGACGAGACTCGTGACGTTTCAGCTTTTCAGAGTTCAGTTTCGGTTCAAAAACGATCAGAATTTGTTACGTCATAGTTAAAAGTTCAGTAGGTTTGAGTCGCGTTCTAATGTTATTACCTCCTCAGAAAAACAAGAAAACACAGCTGGAGTTGTGTTTTGTTTCATTCACTCTTTATTATTAGTCTGTTTACATCTCCAAAGCTCAAAACGCTGTGTTCCACCTCGTGATGTCATGAAGTGGTAGTTTTTTTTTCAAGTGAACAGCTCCTTTTAACTTTAGTTCAAGTAAAGATCGGGAATTCCAGAGCTGAAATGATCCAAATGATTCTAGAAAATGAAGGTGTGTGGAGTTTAAAAACACAGTGGAGCACTTCCTGTAACACCGCATGACATCACAAGGTGGAAGAGAGTGTTTTCAGCCTAAATCTGCAGGGTTAAACGTGTGTGAATGAAACAAAAAAAAAACACAACTTCAGGTTTGTTTGTGACGAGGAAACTACATTAAAACAAATCAGAAAATAGAGTAACATGGGACTCTTAAGTGGTTCTTTAGACCTGGTTTAGTCCTGGTTTAGACCTGGTTTAGACCTGGTTCATCCCTGGTTTAGTCCTGGTTCAGTCCTGGTTAAAGGTTGTATGGAGGATTTTTAAAAATATTTTTTCAAATTGTCAATGAAAGTTCAAAATAGAATTATAAAGAAGAAGCAGCCTTGTAATTATGATGACCAAAAAAAAAGAAAAATCCATCAACTGTGAATGTAGTGAGGGCAGATAAACCTCAGCCAATAGATAACAAGGCTACCTCTTTATCTATTGGCTGTTAGGTTGTCAATCAAATTCCCTACGTTTCTAGGATTCTGGGATTGTGTGGTTTATGTTCGCGGTTCATGTTTAGCGGTTCTTGGCGTCTTTTTTGAACTGTAGCTCTCAGTTTGCACAAATTTTGTTTTAATGGCAGAGAAGAATTCACGACCGGTTCGCTGCAAAAGAAAGTCAGTTTTTGACGTTGCTGAAAGAAGAAGTGAAGGGGAAAAGGTGCGAAGCGCAACATTTAAAAAAGGACAAACAGTCGCTGCATTTCTCTTTCCTTGGAAAATCTTCTATACAACCTTTAAAGTAATGATGTCTCCATGGAAACAAGCAGGTGTTGAACCCTCCACCAGAAAAGTTAAGCTGCGTTCAGACCGCGGTGTCAAAAAACGAGCCGGATGCTTCTAATTGGAGCCTTTGCATCTGAGTTCAAACGCTCCTGACGCACTTCTTGGACGCCGTGGAAGAAAATACTTGACACTAGTCCCGTTGTTGTGGTCTGTGAGCCTTGTTTTCCCAGTCAAGAGAGTGACTTTAGTGTATTTATGACATGAAACCATCAGCAGAAGTGATCGGCTCGGCAGTTGCGGCGTGTTTCTATTTACACTCCACTAATGACACGGCGTAGAGTTTCTTGTTCTGGTTTTTGTGGCTCTCGGGTCTTTGTCTTTCTTCTCCTTCTTCTGGATAATAATGTTGCTTTGTCACTGGATAGTCGCCCGTGATTGGCTGACAGGGAGTGACCGACGCCAAACGTTCTGCTTTTTCAACTTGTGACGCTGACTTCCTGGTCCAGTGTCCAGGGCGCCACGTTGACGCCAGATTCTCGCCGTGGTGACGCCTGTAGATGTGCCGCAAAAAAACAGGACGCCCTAGACGCACGTCCATGTAGACTTTACAGGTAAACTGGACGCCTCGATGCCGCAGTCTGAACACAGCTTTAAAGGTTGTATAGAGGATTTTCCAAGGAACGAGAAATCCAGCGACTGTTTGTCCTTTTTCAAATGTTGCGCATGTGTGAAACCACCCCCCTCCCCTACAGCTCCTACGTAGAAACACCTCCTCCCTCCTCCTCCTTACGCCACAAACAGGTTTGTTTACAGCCGCTGCACATGACTTGTAAACAACTAACTACAGTGTTGGTTAGGCAAGACGGAGAAGTGAGGAGCGGGGGGAGCGGGTGCGCGACTATTTCGTGCACGGAAAAGAAGTGAGGAGCAGGGAGAAGAGCGGAACGGGCAGCGGGGAGAGGAGAGAGGAGAGAGGAGCGGTGCGCGGAGATTCCGTGCGAATGAACAAGCTACTACTA